ATCTGCTAGCAATTTATCAATCAGATAACATTCATCTGTCTCACTTTTTCTTATGGATGTACCATATTCAGATAAGGGATTATAGATATACTTTATAAACTTTGTAAGCCTTTAATACTATTCATGTAGAAGAATTAAGATTTTAAGATTTCATTTAAGGCAAGTTAAAGGTTGGGAGCCCTACTATTTGTTTCTAGTACAAATCATGGATTTAAAACAAGGAAGGGTTACTTTTGGGGGGAGTATCTGGGGATTGAAATAAGGGGCGCTCGGTCCCTGAGACACATCCTCATCCTTGTATTTTATTTAGAGACAGGGTATCACCGAGTTGCTTAGCACATTGCTGTTGCTGAGGCTGGCTTTGAACTCATGAACCTCCTGCCTCATCCTTAGGAGCCACTGGGATTACAGGGTATGCCAGCACACCCCACTTTATGTTGTTACTATTAGGTGGACAGTAAGCCATGAGCAGGACAGTGAAGGGCATTAAATTATAGGGAGGACATCAGACACAAGTACCAAAGAAAGTCTGTAAGTCCCAGGATTGGATAACTGAAAACTTTATCAAGCAGACAATAATCAGAAAAACGGAAAATCTTTTGTTAAACCTCCCCCAGCCACAGTTAATTGTAACCCCTTAAGGAAACTATTGCTTCTTTTTATTCTTCCTTTTGTTTTGGTACTAGGGATTAAACCTAGAGGGCCAAGAATGCTAGACCTTTTTAATTTTTATTTTGAGACAGGGGTCACTAAGTTTCTGAGGATTCTGCTAAGCTTCTCAGACTGGCCTGGAACTTGTGATCCTTCTGCCTCAGTCTCCTGACTCACTGGGGTTACCAGTGTGCACCATGACACCCAGCTTGGAGCTATTGTTTCAAGAACATAGCATAACTATCTCTTGTGACTAGGAAGTCACAGCCCTCCCTTTGTGACCTGTCATCATGACCCTCAGAAAGAAACTCTGTTATGGGCTATATAAAGGGTAATGGACCACTTAAGAGTGTATGAAAAGTAGAGGCAAGAATTATGTAAGCCATGTCCCTTAAAAAGCCCAGACTCTGTAACAGATAGGCCTGTCTTTCTAGAGATGGTCCACTCAGAGGTGTTCTGTGGGTATGGATTCTCACTATCCCTAATAAACTCCTGCCTGTTCCTCTTTGAGACCCAATTGAAATACTTCCAGTAATATCACTGTTGGCCTCTTGTTCTTTACATCTCTCTTTGCAATGTGTTCGGCTTCCTTTTTCTCATTGCTATTTTTGTTATTTTCCTAGTCCTATCTCCCTCCTCCCAGACTGGTTGACTATCCTGGAGCTTCTCTTTCTTCCAGTTCCCCCAACACTTCCCAGGAGGATGCCAACGCAGTATCAAATGCCTGGTCAACGAGATCTCTGCTGGATAATGCAGACAGCTCTAGGCCTAAGGCAGTTCTAGAGTCCCCAATACCTAGGCAGCTTTATCCTGCCTTCTGGCTTCCATCAAGAAGAGCCCCTCAGAACCGGTCCAGCAAAAGCCAGGTGGCATCTGTGAGGGATGTTGGACAAGAGTGGGAGGTTGGGTCAGTGATCTCTTAGTTGACTTTTGCTACTGAGTTAATAATTGTCACATTATTAAACAGCCCTTGGCCCCATGAAGCCCACCTTCTGTGAATTCAAGTCTCAGAGTAGACAATAGGGCACAACCAGACACATTACAGGACAAACTGCCAAGTGTATTCCTGTTACAGCTCACTGGGATGGAGCGCATCTCAGAGAAAAAACAAGCCTTGCAGCATTTGTATTCTGAACGGTCGTCTGTCTATGTTTGTGACCTTTATGTTGTGATGTGTGCGAGCTGCTGTCTGGAATTGGAAAGAAGGAGGAAATCTGTCACCTCTGGCCCTTTTCCTGAAGTGTTTAATGCCTCTGAGGCACTTCAAAAGGCAACAGAGCGGAGAAGATGAGTGATTAGAAGTACATTTGGGATACATTTTTAGATCTAATTAGAATTGTGCTTTTCTTTCTTTCTTTCGTTCTTTCTTTTTTTTTTTTTTTTTTGCTTTTGCCCTGTGGTTAGTACACCATATGAACATTTGTTGAGTGCCATGTTAGCGATGCACAATGGTTAATAATAACTTGTGGTTATATATTTTTAACAACAGTTGATTGTCCAGTGGTCTTTGATGGTAAGGAACACCATGTGCTGAACATACCTTCTCATATAGACAAAGGCAAGTGGCTGTAGTACGCAGTAAGGATCAGGAGGACTGTGTTTTTATTTCCTGTTTTGGAAACAGTAGTGGCTGTGCACTTGAGGTTAATACCCCTAAGAGGTGAATACTTCTTCCCCCTTGCCTTTTGTCCCCATCAACACGTGTATGCGTGCACCCACATACTACGGTGCCACATTTGCCGCCACTAGAAATGAACTCTTTGCAACTCTTGGGAGCTTTATACAAATATCATGTCATATCATGCCTTTCTGACTTAATAAATAAGAGTTATTGACTACATGTCATATAGTATGTGTGTCACCATCTATCAGCAAGAAAAGGTGGGAAGTGTTATCTGTACCTAAGTTGCTTTGTGCTTATTGCTAAGAGGGGTGCATGGATGCTGGGGGATATTTGGCCATCTCTAACATGGAGCTATAATTGCTGAAGTAAGAAGAAGGGATCAACATTAGATGTATTAAGCTAGAAGACTTTCTGGAGAAAGGATTTTAAATAAAAGTGCAGGATATGGACTGGTGAAAAATTCTGTGAGAAACATGCAAGCAACAATGGGGGGGTGGTGGCAAAGCCAACATATGGAATTAACCATAGTTGAATTTACAAAGTATCTTTAGAGAGGAACCAGGGGATGGTTCTGACAGAGAAAAATTCATTAAATTCTAGGTTGAATATTTTTTCATGTGCTTTAAGTCACACCAGATGATTCAAATCTCAGATTCCTGGTTTGTAATTTAAACAATTTGCTTTTCAAAGCCTCCATATTTTCAGATCTAAAATAAGGGGTAATAACATTGCCTCTCAGTGTTATAAAATTATATGCAATGTTATATGCAAAGTACTTACAAAGAGCCTGGTACTTTCGAGTTCTTAATGTTAGTAGTTATTCCTACCATGACTATTGAATTAGAGGAGAAAAGAATTTCTCCAGGATTGGCTACTCTTGCAATAATCATACCAAAGAAGTGATGTAGATAATAAAAGCCAATTGTGGTGTTCGCTTAGAAGTGAAAGATGAGTGAATAAATATGGAAAATATGCCAAAGTAAGGTACAGATAAGACTTATTTTTTTTTCCTCATTAAAATGGGGGGGGGCGGTTACAATGGAGATAAAATGAGAAGTAATAATGTGGTTAGGATAAAAATATCTTTTTAAAATATTGGGTTGTTTGATTATTATTTGTAGAAAACTTTATCTTTTATTTTATTTTTACTTATTTATTTATTTATGGTGTTGGGGATTGAACACAGGGCCTCAAGTGTTTACTTTCCACTGAGCTATATCCCCCCAACTGTGTGTGTGTGTGTGTGTGTGTATGTTACTGTTGATTGAACCTAGGACCTTGCACATACTCAGAAAACTTTAAATAAATGATTTATATTTTGCGTTTGTTTAAGGTTCTTCTGTTTATATGTGTACATATATAGAGAAAAAAAGAATGAAAACCACTCATAATTCTGCTACTCAAAGAAACATCATTATTTACCTTGTATATATATATATATGAACATGTTCACATAGAAATTAAAATTTCTTAAGTACTTTTACTGGAAAAACAAATTTTGGATTAATTGAGCTTCTATTAGATGGGCCCAAAAAGCAAAACTTAGAGTGAAATTGTGTATGTGTGCATGCGTGCATGTGTGTGTGTGTGTGTATCTGTGATATAGAGCTCTTCTGCTCCCTGCTCATTCCCAGTTGAGAATCCCTGTGACTAGAAGCTAGTGGTTTTTGAGTCTGCTGATCTTCAATAGTCCTTTTCACAGGAAAAGTTCTCATCTCTACATATAAAAGACATTTTGCCATGCATAGAATTTCAGAGGGTCCACAGATTCGTGAAGCCTCTCTGTGGCTGTTTGGGGACACGCAGCCCCCCTCCACTCCACCATGCTCAGGCTATTGAGATGTGCCTTCTTTCTGAGCAATAGGCACTTAAAAGTAGAGTTCTTGGCATTCTTATTTTGTTTTGCTTCTCTGTACAATGATAGTAGAACAAGCAACAGTGGAAGAAGTAACCAGCTAAAAGCAAACTCATAAATCAAAACCAAAATGGCTGTATAGATAGATGCTGTTTGATGTTGACAACCTAGAAATAATCTTGGAAAAATCCTTTGGAGAGATCTTAAACAGGAAGATTGGATTTTGTGGACTCAAAGAATGTGTCATGATTTGGCTTAATCTAAGCCATTTTTATTTCTCTTTTCTTGTGTTTGGGTCTATTATCTGTCTCTGGAATTTATACAGTGAGACCGCTGGGAAGGCCTTATGTCTAATTATTTGCAGTGCTATGTGAAGTGTACTGCAGACAATCAATAAACAATCAATAGTAATTGTAGCCTGCCTCAGAGATGGGAGTTGGAAGCTTCAACTGGCTTAGGTGCATGGTATTTTTTCATTAATTTTCTTTTGCTAGTCTTTCCTATAATTTAAAGCCTAAATAGAAAGCTTTCTTTGCTTATGAGAACAAGTAGGCACTGTTTGTAAAAGAAGGAATATGTAATCCCAGGTGTTTTATCTCCGTTAATGAGAGAGATGTCTTTTTGTTGCAGATTGGATGAGCAGAGAAGAGGACAAGGAAATTTGCATGGTTAAATGACTATGAGCCCTTGTTTCTGAAGGAAATATTCCCCTGATGTCAATTACTTTTTATCCAGACATCTGGATGTTTATCATAAGTGTGTACAGATGTCAGCTTGTTCTATATCATAGCTGGAAATGTGGTGATAACTTGACTTTGATTTGAGTAAACATAAAACATCTAACATTTAAAGTCAGAAGTTCACTTTAGGAAAGGTTTTAGACTGACATTTATTAAAGAGAATAGAGTCCTGGAATAAACTGGAACCATCCATAAAGATACAGACACTCTGATAGAATAAACAAAGTCCCAGTGATGCTATCTCTAATGAATAACAATCTGAAAATGATATTTCTCCACTTGCTTGAACTTACAGAAGCTGGTGCTGAAGATATTGACATTCTTCCCAATGGCCTGGCTTTCTTTAGTGTGGTGAGTACCATCTCATTTCTCCACGTGCAATAGAGGAGAGACAGGGCATTTGTTCAGGCCCATAGAGGAATAGCTTGCTTTAGAAATGCCTCACTCTTCAAAATATGTTCTGAAAAAAAAAGATTGATCACCTTAGAATATTCCAGTGCAGTGTGTGTTTTTAAAGTGTGTTATTAAAAAGGATATTTGTGGTATCATTGTGGATGTTAGATTCTACCATTTTTCTGTCTTAAACACAGGATCTATCCTTCTTTCCATTACATATTCAGTTTTAAGCATTTTCAATCTTACATATTCATATTTGTTATTTATTTCAAGCAATATACTTTCCCAAACAAGGCCAGTGCTTTTTCTTTCTTTATTTCCCTGAAGAGCCTATCCTAAGTGGAAAATCATTGACTGAGTTCATTTATACTCTTCCTTTTTGCCTTAATTCCTATCATTTGAAAAATAATATCCCTTCTGAGCACATCATAGAAAGACTTTAAAACTGATTAGCTTTCATGATGCTGGCCTTCTTCGTTATCCATTGCAATTGGAAATCCAGACAAGTAGGCAGATGAGCGCTTCTGACCCCACTTCTCAAGTTTGGGCAGAGAGAAGACTTTCATTGGTCCAGCTTTTCTGGAAGAAGAAGTATCTGATTCTTCAGACTAACTTTAATTATTTTGTTCCCCCTCAATATCCATTATTTCAGGCTCTGAGACTCAGGAGGCATGTGAAAACTTGGAGGTAGTTTAGAAGAGAGATGCAACACTAATAAAATAGTTGTCAGACTTACGGGAAAGGTGAGAGAACTCAGCTTGGAAGAGAATAAGGGTTGGAACACTCCTCAGGTTAATGATGATTTTATATGAAAAATTGTGAGCCACTGTTAGTGCCCCTGAGGGAAAAGGAAATACCATGGATGTTAATATACACCAAAAATGTATATTCAGCTTTAAAAGAAAAGTTTTATTTAATGAATCAAGTGATATTTATAGTAGGGCTCTGGGTTTGTTTGGAAGCATGTATCTAGAGGCTTAGGGAAAAAAACCACTAGAACCACTAATCAAAATTATTCATAACTTGAGATGCAAAATTCCTGGATAAAGTAGAAAGCAGTCTCATTGGGGTGGTTTTTTGTTTGTTTATTGTTTGTTTTTGCAAGGGTGCATTCTTTAAACTTACCTCATCAGGATTTTTACCCCCATAGGGATAAATTCTAAGGAGAAACAGTGAGATTTCTAAGCACATAAATCCACAGCCAGTTTGGCTGAGGGGCACATTACAATCACAATAGTCTTGTAGTCACGTCTACAGAAATTTTTTTTCTGCTTTTCTCTATTAACTTTCCTTTGTCCTCACAATATTCCCTTATTGTCACATTTTTATTTACTCAGTGATGTGTCTCACACTTCTCATAGTGTGCTCTTTTAAGTGAATGGCTCATACATCATAAGATTTGCTTCTCTTCCTAATATTTTAGCTCATTCAACCCATCTATTGTGCAGGCATGGATTTGAGGGTCACCTCGAGAATAGCATCACACTTGATGAGAAACTGGACAGCACAGAATAGAATATTAAAAAGATTTTAACAAGGTGAATGTACCCAACACTATTGAGCTGTACACTTCAAAATGGTGAAGATGTTGAATTTTATGTTACTTCTATTTTATCAGAAATAAGGATTTTTTAAAAAAAATTATTTAAATAATTATGAAGAATTATCACCATCTGGAAGTTTTTCCTGTGCATGTAAACCATGCTATTTTGGCGGGGGACATTACTAAAGAATGGAGATTATTAAGAGCTTAAGTATCACTGCCATGTAGCAATAGCATAATTTCAATTTATTTTACTTACTCTGCCTGCCAGCCTTGAAGGTATGTAATTGTAGATTTTTAAAAATTAAAGTGTCCAATAATGTGCATGAAGTGAGGCTTTGTTTTTTATTGTACCATTAAATTTGCATAAAATAAAACTGCATTGTATTAGTAAGCTAAAAGAGTGCATTCTAGTAAAATTTATTATCACCCATGAGGTTTTACCTTAAGAATGTAAGAATGAATCAGCATTTTATAAATAGATAACTGAAGTAACTAATTAAAAAAAAAAGACTTAGAGTGCCAAAAGAAACATTAAATAAAATTCAATACTCATTCCTGGTTAAAAGCTCCAAGCAAACTAGAAATAGGAGGAAAATTCCCAGAAACCTGCAGCAAACATCATTTTTAACAGTGAAACATTCCATTAATGTCCGGAATAGGATGAACGTGCCCAGTACCACTGTAACCTTCCATAATCTATTAAGAATTCTTAATAACCTAATTAAAAAAAGGAAAAGAAATGTGAGATAGGAAAAAAGAGACAGAAGTGTCATTATTTCCAGATAATATGGTTCCTTGTTTTTTAGACAATCCAAGAGATTCAATGAACAGACCGTTAGAACTCAGAGGAGAGTTCAGTGAAATGTTTGGATTCAAATAAGCTTATCAAATGCCGTGGCTTCCCACGGAGTTGAAGAAAACAAAACGCAATGATAGAATCTTCCATTCAGAACAGAAATTTAGCCTCCCATATGAATGTCATGCACATATTCAATATATGTATAAAGATACAGTAATTTAAAAAGTGGTGCATTGGCACAAGAATAGGCATGAGATAGATAAAGAACAAAATAGAGAGTCCCCTAACAGACCAGTAAGTAAATGGGGATCCAGGACATGATGAAAGTAATGTTTCCGGTAAGTGGGAAGAGAATGGAATATGTGCCAGACACTCTTCCAGGCTGTGGGATCTAGCAGGGAACAAATGGGACAAAATCCTGGCTTGCATTCCAGTGGGGCTTTGTGAGTATGTATTGGACAGTGACAGTGCTTTAACAAAAAAAAAATAAAATAAAGTAAGGTGGAGTATGGAGAGTGACGTCCGTAGTGAAGGTGACATCATGCTGCCATTTTGGAGAGGGTGCAGATAAGGTCTGTCTGATAAGTGACATTTCCCAGAGATCAGTTGGAAGGGAAGGCATAAATCTTGCAGATTTGGTGAGAAGAGACTCACAGGCAGAAAGAAGAGCAGCCCGTGAACCCTGAGTGAGGTCCGTTAGTCATCTCAGTCTATTTCTGTCTTAACCCCTTACTATACTAAGTACTGAACAGTATTTATGTAGGTGTGTCAGATGGCAAGGAAGGCAATGGAGAATAGTAAAACAGGAGAAGGAGGACAGGATGTGCCAGATCAGGTGAGTATTTTGGTTAGGGACAACCTTACTGAAAAGGTGGCATTTGATGTGTATCAAATAAGGAAACCAGAGAAAGGATCCCTATGTCTTGGGGTAGGGTGTCAGGCATTCCTGGCCATATTGAACAGTGAATAAAAGCCCAAAGCAGGAACCGGCTGTCTTGTTGAAGAACATTAAGGAAATTGAGGACAAGTCGGAGTAGATGAAGGAGAGAGAATGGGTGTCTGGGTGAGGAAGGTGAGATGTGCTAATCATGTGGCAACTTCTGGGTGTCCTAAGAATTTTTGCTTATGATCAGGTGGAGATGGGGAGCCACACAGAATTTTAATTAGAGTTATGACATAATCTGACACAATCTGGAAACTGAGGTGACCATAGACAATAGGGTATTAAGGGCAGTAGCAGCCAGGCCAGTTAGGAGGTGATTGCCATAACATGGTGGTGATGTGGACCAGGGAAGTCATAGAAGAGGTGGTAAGAACATTTCATGTCTATATGAAGGGATACATTTTTCAAGGCAAAGCCAACAGAATTTGCTGAGGTATTGGATCTGAGGTGTGAGACAAGGAAAGGAATTGTGACAGACTGTTGACAAGGACTTCTGGCATTGTGGAGGCAGAGTGCTGGTCAGGGGTTTGGGGGTCTCCACAGTTAATATGCAGAGATTCCAGCTCTGTCTGGAATCTCCCCATCCACCAACCTCCTGGTACCTTTTGAAAAGAATAAATCCCTGATCTTCCATCTCAACTCAGCAAAATCCTTATTGTTCAGCTTTCCAACTACCAATTTTTAATTTTTTCTCTTGTCTTCTCTTGTTTCCTTTGTCTCTGTGGTTTGATGCCACCACATTTAACCAAAAAGTCTTTATCATTCATGTGCAGTTCCCACTTTAGTCTGCAAAATTTCTTAAGCCTTTGTATTTAACTTTTCTTACTGTTTTGGAAAGGGTCTGAAATATCCAGGACTCCACAGCTTTGCACCAGATAAGTCTGGAGGAATACTAATGATGGACCTAAAAGAAGAAAAACCCAGGGCACTGGAATTAAGAATTAGCCGGGGTTTTGACTTGGCTTCCTTTAATCCACATGGCATTAGCACCTTCATAGATGACGGTAAGAGCTGATGAGCTACCAACGTTGAGAGACCTCAAGTGGCCCACAGATGACTGTGGAAAACAGATTTGGATCCTACTGATAGGAAAGAAACAATTTTCTCATGAATTATTCCCGCATCTTCATATAAGCAACTTGTTCACGTGTCTCTTCAGCTGGCAGTAAATTATGCTACATTTTGAAGTTTCTAACAGCTAACATCTGAAAAATTGTTTAGATTTCATAACCTTTTCATATACTTATGATTATTGTATTAAAAAGAGATATATTTCTGAATTAAACTATAAACAGATTATGCATGAATTCTGCATCCGGAGTGGGAAACACTCTTTCTTAAAGGTCAGAGGACCAATGATCAGAAATAACACCAGACAGTGATGGGAAAGCCTGGGAAGAAGAATGATCTGTTAGGTCGTCTAACAGCTGTACATTCAACCTTTCCTTGCCCGTGGTATTTAAATGTCAGTGCCTGCCCAGAGGTCCTATGGTTATGTCTTGCAAATTAACTCTGTTCTGTGGATTCTTTAGATGACACAGTTTATCTCTTTGTTGTAAACCACCCGGAATTCAAGAATACAGTGGAAATTTTTAAATTCCAAGAAGAAGAAAATTCTCTGTTACACCTGAAAACAGTCAAACATGAGCTTCTTCCAAGGTATTGTTTTCTTCTTTTGTTCATTCTCTAGTTTCTCTCTAGCATTTTCAAACATTCCCCATAATGAGTGGTCTTCTCACATTTTATAAGAGCTAATACATATGTATGAGCTTATAGATAAAACGTATTATATATTATGTATAATACAAGAGTTTATACGTGTGTGTGTTTATATGTGCATGTATATTTATACAGGTTGAGCATTTCTAATTCAACAATCTGAAACCCAAAATGTTCCATTATCCAAAAACTTTTTGAGTCCTAATTTGATGCCACCAGTAAAAGTTCAGCATGAAACTTGGACATGAGTCAGGTGTACCATCTAAATAGGAAACTTGTTTCATGTACAAATCTTAAAAATATTGTATCAAATCATCTCCTAGCTATATGTGTAAGATGCATATAAAACATAAAAGAATTTCATTTTGCCAGGCTGGTGGCACAAGTCTGTAATCCTAGTGGCTCCAGAGGCTGAGACAGGAGGATCACGTATTCAAAGCCAGCCTCAGCAAAAGTGAGGCACTAAGCAACTCAGTGAGACCCTGTCTCTAAATAAGACACAAATAGGGCTGGGGATGTGGCTCAGTGGTCTAGTGCCCTTAAGTTCAGTCCCTGGTACCCACCTCAAAATTTCATGTCTAGACCTGGGTCCCATCACCAAAATATCTCATTATATATATGCAAAGACTCCAAATTTTTTAAAAATGAGAAACATTTCTGGTTCCAAGTATTTGGATAAGGGCTACTTTACCTGTATACACACCCACTAAACACACACACTCGCTCACACACACACCTGTGGTATAGTTTCCTTATAGACCATGGAGAACGTGGCATACGAAGGTTGAGGGCCCTCTTTACAATAATCAGTGTTCTGGAGGATTTCCTTGAGAATGACAAAAGGCTAGGTTACAGGGCGATACTCTTCAGGCACATCTTGATAATAAAGACACATCCTACCATTTTTTCCTGCTGTTGCCCTCATCTTACATGACTCAGCACCCAAACACTTGTCCTGCCAGGGGAGAATAGCCTGTTTTATACAGGGCTTGTATGCTTTGTATAGGGCTTTTCTACAAAGTGATCTCACGTGGTTAGTTGGCAGCTGTGGGCTAATGGCCCCATAGAATTGGAAGCATTCAATTTGGAAGTGGGTCACTACCACTTCAAGAACATAATGCTGGCAGATAAGGTGGCTAAAAGAGAACCATGTATATCCTCTCAGCTCAGTTTGCATTCACCTACTGTTTTTAGTTTAAATTTGATGAATATTTTTAATTTCTACTTCCTTATCTAGGGCATAAGCATGTAAATTCCCATCATTTTTTCCCCCAAGATGCACTTTATAATAAATAGGAGCATAAATACTATTCATGCAGCCTCTGTATTATAGGGCTCTTTCAGAAAGTAGGAGACCAACCTTCCCTGTAGCTCTGTATTTTTCATTTGACAAAGAAGAAAGCAGCTCTTTCAGAAATTTTTGCATAGGGTAATTGGAATTTAAATTTAATGACACCTTTGCCTAACTGGTTTTAAAATGTAATTGTTTTTAGCATATCAATCTCTCACCTGAAGCATTGTACTATGGCAATTTCATCATCCATCTCTCTGCAAGTGTTTATTGAGTGCCTGTTCATTCTCAGCATGTCGACTTTGTGAGGCAGGTAGAAATTGAATAGTCAACCTTAGTTTGACTAATAACTAAGCATGGGCCATCAGGAAGATCCAGCAACTGAGTAAATGGGGGCTAGGTAAATGTTACTGACGGCCTAACCAGCTCACCAGTCAATCAGACCCTCTCCAGCTCTGTACTCTGGATAGTTCTATCTTTACGTGTAATTGTTAAACCCTATATTGCTTGCATCAAAAACACCCCGATGGTGCCAAGTTCTTTAATAATGATTCTGTCATAATTGCTAAATGACC